TACATCGTTTCTCAAAACATTTTCTCTCCACTTAAACCCCAACATTAGGTCCTCATTTTTCCCCTCCCTCCCGTGTATAACTTTATCTTATTGGATTTTCAGGAACTAAAGTCATCTTCAACTGAGAAATGATCATCTTACAGGCAATAAATATTTCTAGGAAACTTTCTTCAGACTTGAAGTCAGGGCATTTCCGTTGCTATTGATCCTAGGGCATCTCTGTGGAGCCAGAACCATAAAGTAAAATTTTCAAATACAACAATACCTGGAAAATTGCTGGAGACCAAGATCTGTCATCAAGTTGAAGATTACTTTGGCTACTTTAATTTGCCATGGAAAAATTTTTAAAGGAACAGATCAAACCAAAGGCTTTGGAGATATGGATGAAATGCAACTGCTTAAACCACCTAGCTGAGCTATTATAGGAATCAGTATTAATGTCATAGTAGAAACACTGATAAATTCAAAGGTAGAACTCCTGGAAATCAGGGAAACTAAAACTAAAATCCCCAAGCAAGAAGATCTCCAAGCAAGTCCTACCTTGAAAGGTTTGAGTATAACAATGATGTTTTTAAAAATCTATTTATTTTAAAGGTTTTCCAATGGATGCAACATGTGGTGACATAAAATAATGGTTTGAAGACATAGGTCAAGTACTAAATATTTAGATGACAAGAACACTGCACAGAGTATTGTGTCAAATCTCAAATCACAGCAACCCGATAGAATTGCTCACTGAGTGTCCAAGACTGCACATCGTGATGAGAGCAGGCAGCCTCATCTTTCTGCCATGGAATGGGTGGTGGATACGAGCCCTGGTCCTTTTGGTTAGCAGCCTAAAGCCTAACCCGCAGGACCAACAACAAGGTATTTCAGGGATCAATATCTGTGTTTGATAGCATTAAATTTACCAAGAAATTTTGTAGAGACCTCTGACCAGAAGTACTAAGCTACAGGCCTGCTAATCCTTCCCATGGAAGATTTATTTGCAAAAAACGAAGAAAGGAAGCAAAGTAAAGTGGTCACTAAATGAGCAGCAAAGAAGCGCAGGAGAAAAACAGAAGTCAGCACAAAATGCTGAAATAAAATTCTAGAAAATGGCTGCTAGTTGAAATTTTCAAGTGACAGATGATCAAACTGAGAGAGGTTTGCACATCCTTTTCTGAAATCAAGAGAAAAGGAAAAGAATATGGATAAGCTTAAATAGAGGAGCAAAAGAGGGAACAATTCTATTTAACAACAACAACAACAACAAAACACCCAATTGCTGTTGAGTCCATTCCAATTCATAGTGACCTCTATAGTGTTTCCAAGGCTGTAAGCTTTTAATGGGAACATATAGCCTCAACTTTCTCCCGCATTTCTATGTTTTCGAGTATGAGGTAGACACAAAGGCATTTACAATGACAGACTACAATTAACGAACAAAGAAAGTGGGAAATACTAGAAGGAGAGATGGTGGGGGGGCGGGGGATCATAGAAGACCAACAAGAAACCCTAAACAAGTAGAAGTCAAAAGTTTGCAGATTTAAGGACAAATAAAGTTTTCCAGGTTAGGTCTACTAAAGAAAAAGTCAAGCTTCAAGGCAAGAAAGCTAAAGGTGACAGAGATGATGAATGCGATGGAAATGGTGCAGCTGGACCAGTAAAAAGAGCCAGAGAAAAAACAGACAAGAGCCTGCATCACAGCACGAGAACATGGAACATTAGACAGGAGTGGGAGTTAATTAAGCCATTTTAAAGTTTAATTCGGTTTTCCTTGATTTTGCCTTTGGAGAATTTTTTTAAATATAAAAATTAGGTCTACTTCAATGTCCACTTATAAGAGAGAATGAAAAAAATATATGGTGTTAAGCAAAGAGGATTGTTAAAATGTATAGCACTTCCATTAAATTACCTTTTTAACATGTGAATTTACTAATAAAATATATACTATATAACGAGTCTTAAAAAGAAAATCTCATCATGATTTACCAATTAATTTACCATCAGATTCTGTAATAACTGCTGGAAAATCAGCAGAAAGGCCAAAAGACACTCTAGGTTTCACACGCCAGAAGGACAGTTCAAATGGGTGATCTGGTCCTTCCATTTGATTAATCATTGCTTTGAGTATATTCTTTTTACACCACATAAAGTTCCTTTAAGAGCAGAAAGAATTAATACAAAAAACCCCATACAATTTGGCAGTTATTTGGATTGCTTTTCTGAGGAAAGTTGGGTTGAGGTGTCAGGGGTGAGCCCATTTATAAAAACCCAAACCAAACTCCCTGCCATCGAGTCGATGCTGACTCACAGCAACGCACCAGTGGGTCTCGGAGACCGTCACTGCTGGCAGGAGTAGAAAGGCCAGTGTTTCTCCCGCAGAGCTGCTGGTGGTTCAAACTGCCGACCCTGAAGATCGCAGCCCAACACACAACAACCACACCACCAGGGATCGTTGGCCCATTGTAGATATTTGGAATAAACTCAATATGTATGAATGAGAACCTAGTAGCAACATTTTCAAACTTGCGCTCATAAGTCATGAACCTAGAACAGATAACCCAATGAAAAGTTAATTCCCAGGTGCACCGGTTTCAAGCACAGGATTATAGTTGTATTTTATCCATTTGGTTAGAATCTAGTTCTAACCCTAGTACTCATGACTATTATTCAGCAAAAACACATCTGTTGAGCAATAACAGCAAACATCAATCTAGTATCAGCTGGATAGCTGACACCACCTTAGGCAACAGAAGGGCAGACGGGAGCAAGGCAGACAAGCCAACTGGCTTCCACAGCAGCAGATTCTAGCAAGATGCCTCACACCCACGGTTTCCAGGATAATTAAGTTGAGTTCACTTCCTATTTGTGAACACACACAGGAATTTTGAACTCAAATGAACAGGAAGCATGAAACGGGCTAAGGATCCCCTCAAAATTCATTTGCTCACAACCTGCTAACTTGCCGTTTTCCCTAGTCACACCAGCACCATTTTTTTTCAGAACTCTGAGTTCTATTCCTTTGGCCCAGCAAGCTTAAACAGAAGGGTCCTTGTTCTACAAAAACAACCTAGTACTGTGTGGTCCTGATGACCCACTGCCTTCTGCCTTGGGCTGCTAACCACAGGTCACCAGATCAAAACCCCCAGCCGCTCTGTTGGCAAAACGCAAGGCAGGCTTTCTGCCCAGGTAAAGAGTTACAGTCTCACCCTGTCCCCCTTCTTTTATGCCTTGGCTTCTAGCCAGGTGACAGCAAGGTCCTAAAGCTCAGCACCGGCCAGGGTCAAAGGCACAGGACCTTGGTGGCCAAGAAGGATAAGCCACTGAAGCAGCTGGACGAATAGAAGTGGACTGGTTCCAGCTGCACGTCACCAAAGTGACAGACTCTGAGCTGTCTGTCTGTCTGAGTTCTCCCCGTCCTCAACCAGACCCAGAAGGAGAAGGCAAGGACAAGACGCACAGCCCCTGACTCCATGGCCCAAGAAAACCCATGCCAGGTGCTGCAGGCTCACCAAGCATGAAGACAATCCGAAGACCCAGAAACAGTAGCGGGAGAAACGGCTGTCCCCACTGCGCATGGACTCAGTCACAGCATGAGCCTTTTAAGGGAATAAAACATAAACTAGCTAGGGGGAGAGAGAGAGAGAGTTACAGTCTCCGAAACCCACAGGGGGCAGTTCTACCCTGTCCTACAGGCATGCTTTGAGGTGGGAGAGACTCAATGACAGTGGGGGTGAGAGAGAGGAACGGCTGGCCTCAATGTGAATCCCCAAACAAGAGAGAAATGATACTGCCAAAATCCATGTGATGGATTGGGAAAGCTGTTAAAGAGACACGCCCTTTGCTGCGGAAAAGGAGAGTCCCCATCGGGGACCACCTGACACAGGCTGCTGCTCTCTCCACAGTTCCATGGTCTCCCGGTGGCTTCCCATGAAGCCACGTCTTTGAAAGAAAAAGCAAGAGCCTCTGGTGCTTGCCAATTATACAAAACGGGCTCACATTGTCTCACGCCGTCCTCAGGACATCTCGCGGAGGGGGGACTTGGGAATGGTAAGATGAAGACCACGGAGCCAGCTCGTGGCAGAGTGAGGCTCACTTCTTCGCTCCGCGAGAGATGGAAAAGATGGTACTCCTTTGGGCACAGATGGAGTGTCTGGCCTCTCTGGCTGCTCAGGTGAGATTGAAAGGCCACAAACTACAGTGACAGTGTCTGGGTTTCCGACTGTAAGGCAGGTCCAGTCTGAACAAAGTCAAAAGTTCCTTGGCCATAAGCATGCTCATGCAGCACAGGCTATCCCCGGCCAAGCCCATGACACTAAATACTCTCTTGGTAAGCCTGGACAGAGTCCATATAAGACTAAGTAGGAATGAGTCGCAGATATTTGTACAATACATGAGGTAAGGTTTTGAGCATAAAAATTTGATTGACAGAAATATACGGTAATTAAGGACATTTCACCTTTGGGAAATTATGAATACAACCCATCAAACCAAATTCTCAGGGAAGCAGAGTTGTAAAGATATCCCATAACCAATGTGCAGAAAATCTTTCAAAGGATAAAGCTGACCACAATATTCTACCCCCTGAAAAGTGTGTGACTCCTAGGCGTGTCCAGCAGAACTCGGACCGTGCGTCTGGGGAGACAGAGTGACCACACAGGATGCAGATTCACGGCCCTCCTTACAGGGTCCAACTCCTGCTGAGACTCCCACTCAGGCCCTCCTGCCTTTCCTGAACACATCCGAGGACTAGGGCACAGGCAGATGTGGTGGCCCAGTAAGGTGGCATGAAATATGTAGTGTGAAGAAAGGACAATAAGCCATTGTCACAGACCATGTTCAATTGCATAAGTAGCGTGTGCTGAATGGCCCCAACAATTACCACAAAGAAGGACATTTCGTGATCAAAGCAAACAAAGGGAATCTACGGTTTGCTTGCCCCTTGGCCGTTTCTCACTGCCTTGTGATAGACCAAAGGAGAAAAGAGAGTCTTGTTGAAAAGGGACCCTGTTTGTTCAGTACCTGCGAGGGAGCCTGCAGGGGATTCTGAAACCATAGCAACACACAATCTCTCTAAAGGTCTTTCGCATCTCCTGAATTCGGAAGGCATATATCAGAGGATCGATCACAGAATTACACATGATGAGTATGAGATACATATTGAAGTGAGACATAAAACAAGAGCAATAAGGGTTCTGAGGGCAAGAAATCATTAAAATGAGGTGGAGAAAGAAGGGGGACCAGCACACAATAAAGATGCCCAGCAGCATGGTCAGGGTGACAGCACCGCACATGCTGGTCCTCTGTCGCACAGACCTGTACCCACGCAACCCTGCTATCCGCTTGGCATGAGTCCGTGCCAAGAGGAACATATGTATGTACAAAGACGCCATGAGGAACAGCATGGTGAAAAACATGGAAATGAGGCAAATGATTACATAAGTAGAGTCATAGTAAATGATGAAGATGACGCCACAGCCCGTGCAGAAGGTCCAGATGCAGGCAATGATAACTCCCGAGCGCCTCGCTGTCATGATGTGGTGGTAGCGCAGGGCGTAGAAGATGGTGACATACCTGTCCACGGCGATGGCCAGCAAACTGCACATGGAGGCCACCACAGAGATACAGATCATCGAGTCAAACACGTTGTCAATGTGGCGCACAAAGGCATCCGCCATCACCACGTGCCTGTTATTTAGCAAGTATATGATGATGGTCTCCCAGGCATTGGACACGCTCACTAGCATGTCCGCCACGGCCAGACTGCAAATGAAGAAGTACATGGGGGAGTGCAAATTCCTGTTCTTCACGATGGCCCCAATGACCAAGATGTTCTCCAGGAGGCTGAGGAGACCCAGAGTCAGAAACACTTCCACGGCGATGCCCATGTCTTCACACGGGGAAGACTTGTTCTTGACATTTGACTCTGAAATGTTGCCCTCCGTGGCATTCAGGTTGAGATCCAAGAAGTGCTCGGGAAACGAGAAGTTCATTGCCGGAAGAAAATGCCTCCTCTTCTTGGCAGTAAATTTACTGTAAAACAGGTTGTTAGATCACGACCCGCCCTACCAAAACAAAAACAAAACAAACAACAGGAAACCACCAGCAAGCAAAACCTTAGGAAAGGGATGTCTGCAGGGATGCACACCCGAGGGGCCCACCTGGCTTGCTCCACCTTACCTGTAGCTCTGATCCCGGAAGCGCAGTGCGGCATGCAGGTTCGTGGTTTTCAACCGCCCCTCCTGTAGCCTTTCCGCCAAGCGCCCATGCTTCCAGGGTCCCTCAGTGCATCTTCGTGTGTCCACAGCAAGGCCACTTTGTATGCCTGTTGTCAATTTCACTCTTAGAAGGGCCCCATTAAGTACCCACCAATTCATAGGGTGCAAAATGCCTTCAGCTGTCCTATTTTCAGATTACTATGGCTCAGGTGGCACCGTGGGTTAAGCAGCCCTCTCTTCGCCACAAGGTTGGAGGTTCAAACCCATTAGGAGGAAAATAAGACTCTCCTCTCATAGAGATTTAGTCTTACACACCCCAAGGATTCATCCTACTCTGTCCTATAGGGTCACTATGAAGTGGCCGTGGGCTTTAGGTTTTAGAGCATGATATCTCACTCTGGTCCACAACCACTCTTGTGATTTAGCATCCAAAGTCTTTCCCCACACACATACACAATCCTGTCATCATCCTCAGTCTTGATATTCATCATGAAACATTTCACTGCAATCATGTATTGTACATGTATGTCGAGTTCTAGCTTCGACGTTGAGTAATTGCATAATTCGATTAAACATCTCATCCACATTCATTCGGACAAGCTCACTGCCCACACGCTGACTCCAGTGCAGCTGAGGGACGCAGGCAGGACAGAGGCTGGACTTCATTGCGCTCCATTGTAAGTAAACTGAAAGTTGCCCTGACTTACCTGACTCAACCTGGGCTCCAGGTCCCCGCCAGTCCGGAGCTGCGCTCAGCCTGCCCACCTGGCTGCGTTGGTCTAGGCTGGAGGGTGGGAGCCACGTGCCATGCCCTCCAGAGGAAGATCCTGGGGCCTCCAGCAGCTCGCGCGACGCCGGTGCTGCACCTTTCAGGAGCCCGGACCCTGTGAACCCGCCCCGCGCGCTAGCCAGCGCCCCCGCCCGTCCTGCCCGGGACCGTCCGGCCCGCCCGTCCCACGGACGCCCAGCTGCCGACTCACCGACTGCGGGCCCACGCGCCACCTAGCGTTGGCCCCGCCCGCCGACGCTCCGGGCGCAGCCCCCGCAAGGGCGCTGGAGAAGAGGGCTTCCCTCCGGGACTCCCGAAAAGACCTTTCCCCCCCAAACTCCTGACCCCACGTTCCGCCCTTTCCCCTGATTGTTCTTTTTGTATGTGTCTTTTCCTGTTAGACAGATGATAATGCAATCGGGGCAACAAGCATTTGCCGTTGACCTCTCACAGATCCCCCGCCCCATCTCCCTCTAATGTGGTCAGTGGGGGCCCCGACGAGTGTCTCTCAGGGAAACCAGCCTGCAAGCCCTCCTCTGTGCCCGCCACATGCCTCCTACGCCCGAGACTTAACCCTGCCGCCACGACTGCGCCCTTCAGGCAGGGAGCTAAACGCAAGTGTGTTTTTGTTAGGCAGAAACAGGGGGATTTTCCCCATGGAGTATTCTGACTTTGGGCAGTAGTTCTAGACCTCGCATGTCTCTGATGCCTCAAACACTGACCTTCGCCCTAAAAAAAGAACTTGAGAAGAGTGCGTACCTGAACGTGGCTGGCAGGCGCCGGTCTGTCTTGGCCATTGCAGCAACGGGCTCACCAGGGGGTGGGAGATGTGCAAGGTCAGAGCGGATGCCAGCAAGTGACTGTAAAATTAATAACAAGGCATTTGTCATACGCGGAGCTTCTCTGTATCAATATGCCTAGGAGGCTGAAACTCCAGACTGGACCCCTAAAGCACAGTCATTCAACACGCGCTGCCATCGAGTCAGTGCGGACCCACAGGGGGTCACAGTGGGTTTCAGGGACTGTTTATGGGAGTAGAAAGCCCCTGTGCGGGGCTGCTGGTAGTTTTGAACTGCTGACCACGAGGATCACAGCCCAATGCGTAACCATTACACCATCAGGGTTCCTCTAAGGCACAGGCACAGTTGTCATTATCACCCCATTGCAATGGCGCTAGAACCACCCCATCAGTACCTTCTACAAGCACACTCTTGTTTTTGCGGCTGCCAGTGCTTTTATGTTAATTGGTCGTGTCAGCTTCTTCTGGTATTTTAGTTACAATAGTGTGTTAACTTGTATTTGTGAACCTATACCAATAACTCTTTTGAGAATGAAACAGTACTTTGAGGGGAAAAAAGGAGAAGAATCAAAGAAAGTTGCTGTTCAGTTGCTAATAATATTGTAATGAATAATGTTGTGATTCCATGTAGCAGTGTTTTTAAAGCAATTCTGCTTTTCTTCCAATAATCTAAGAAATATCACATTTAAGCAATTTACAACTGCATATCACATGTTATTCTATACTTTAAACTAATAATAACCATTACTAAGGTTCACTAAAGGAATCCTAGCAGCACAGTAAGTCAAACATTGAACTGCTAACTGAAAGTTTGGCAGTTCAAACTCACCAACTGCTCAACAGGCAAAGGACAAGGCATCAGCTTGGGTAACAATGAGTCTATTTCTGTAGAGATTTCCAGCCTTGGAGACTCCCTGAAGCAGTTCCACCTGTCAAATAGAGTCATTATGAATTGGAACCAACTCCAGGGGTAGTGGGTTTGGGTTTCTTCTTTGAAGGAGTGTGTATGGTATGGTGGGGGAGGGGGGGGGAGTTAATGGGGAGGTAACACCATGAGTTAGTGCACTAGGTGGCCCCAATCTTAGTGATGTCACTGCATTGTCATTTCCATAGCCAGCTGTGAGAAATCATTCAGCAAATTATAACTGATTGCCAGGGGAGATAACATGTTCTCTTGGTGATATACTTGCCCAATCGCTCTACAACAAAGACTCAAGAAATCAAGGGAAGCAGGTACAGATGGTCATCCATCTGTAGTAGCAAAGGAAAGGATAAAGAATTAGATCAAACACCAACTGGAAATAGAAACACCAAAAGCAGCGCCTGAGGGGGCGATGGAGCACAGGCATGGCTATTTTAAAGCATGAAGGGCAGCATACCTGGGTGAGAAGAGGCAGTGTGGGAATCCCAATGAGAGACATGGAGTAAACAAGTCAAGAGTGAAGCACAGTAAACAAAATGCAAGCTGACTCTAAGAAAGGGAAGTGGGTAAAAACCCCAATGATACAACCAACCCCAGAGCAAGGGGAAGCCAGAGCATAAGGATACGTGGCTCATCAGCAGAGAGTCCGAGTTGTGTAAGCTGGGGGCCCACATGGAGAGGAAGGCGGGGGAGATGGAAGCCAGAGATGCTGCACTATGGAAACCATCCTCCCGCCTCCCCTGCCTTGAGACGGGGCAAGAATCAGATTATCAGCAGTACTCACTCCAAAATTCACCCCATCATGGTCTTGAATGGCTCCCAGAGAAGTGCCTCTTTCTCCTTCCCGCCATCAGCTGACTGGTCTTCAAAGGTCAGAGCCACCTCTACCAAGTGACCCTCCTCTGCTGCCCCGCCTTCACCCAGCTCACTCAGCTCTTACCCACAGTCCCCACCACACTTTACTCCAGTGGACCAGGCCGTGCTCCTTTGGACCACATGCCACGCCCCTGGTACTCACTTGGTCAATCAACATGGATCGAATACCACACACATGCAGCCTCCTTTGTCAGGGGTGCAACCACTGCCTTTACAGTCAAGGGCATGCATACGTGCAGACCAGTTTGGAACAAGCGTGGGGCGCATACGCGTGCGTACACACACACACACACACACACACACACACACACCACAAACTAAATGCATACTTCCTCCTTGGTTGGGAGTGAATGCTCCCGCAGATAGTAAGCCAAGTGTTCACCATTTAGAAGCACTCACCACCGCCAGTGTGCCACCTCTTCTTTATTTTTTCTTTCTCCTTTTTATTTATTTATCTTATTTTCTTTTTTTATTGTCCATTACCTTATTTTCTTTATTTTTCTTCAATTTTCTTCTCATCCTTTAATTTTCTGTCTCATTTGGTGAGAGACAGATGTGTTCCCATTAGTCAGCAATCCTATGAGGTCATTATGAATCAGGATCTACTCAATGAGAGGACTGTTTACAGGAGTTGAAAGCCCCTCTTTCTCCCTTGGATGGCTGCTGGTTTGGAACTGCTGACCATGTGGTTAACAATCCAACGTGTAACCACTACACCCCCAGGGATCCAGTAACAGGGGACTTATTAAACTCAATGTGTGGTCAGAAGAACTTGGGAGAACTGAGAGATGGAGGTTTCATCCAAACCCAGTGTGCCATGGTAATCGTCGACCTCACTTCCAGCGTCATTCTAACTGGCCGGCAGGCTCGGGCTCCAGTAGGTGAAAATGCCTACGTCGTACTGTGTGACAACAAAGTGGACATTACGGACAGGAAAATTAAGGCAAAATCTACCATCTTCCACCGAAAGAAGAATCTTCTACACTATCGTATTTCTGCCAAAAACAACAACTTTGAAAAGTCCGTCCTTTGGTTTGCTGGAAAATGAATTGAAGTCCTAAACGGGCGTTTGATGCCATGGCTGCTCGCACCCCACCTGCGGACCCCGCTCTGGCAGCAGAAGAGGACCATGATTTAGACAACGGCTCTCCTGTGTGAGAGCGGCCCTGGCGCCCAGCATCAGGAGGCGCGTTTCCAATGATGTGATGTCAGTGGTGCAGTATGCCACTCTTACGATACAGCATGCAGAATGCGCTCATCTTTGCGATGGTGAAGGAAATGGTGGCTTCGCAGCGAGTGTGGCAGTTAAAACCTTCCTTTTGTTGGACTAGCATATCTAGTTGTTTGAGGAGCACAGTTGTTTTCGTTTTTGAATTTCAAAGACAAGCCTGCTGCAGCCATATCGCAATATTCAGTGGTGACTTTTTGTTTGTTTGTTTGTT